ACGACGAGTTCCTTGCGAATTGCCAGCAGAATCTTATTCAATCATTCGTCGATAAAGCCCTGAAGCGAATATCTAAGGGGGAGTTTTCGGCGCTCATGGCCGCGTGCGACGGGATCATCGGCGAATGTGACATCAACGCACTGGACATCGACAACGCCAAGATAGATCCTTCCACGGGATGGTTGCCTCTTGTCATGGCCGACCTGAATGCCGTGCGTTTTTTCGGGAAGGTGCCGGCCGTCGGTGCGAAGGAGAAGTTGCCTCGGGACTTGCGGGTCGAGGCGCTGAGGGTGCACGCGAACAAAGAGAAGCTGAGCAATCGACTGCGGTGTCTCATCAGGGTTGGGGCTGGGAGTACCAACTGGGCTCGCGCAGCGTGGGAACGAACGCCCTTCGCTGAATTCGCTGGCACATCGGAAGGTGTTGCTCTCGACTCCACCGTCCAACAGATGATGATCGCGATTTGCGCCGAGATCAAGACGTTCACCAGCGGGGACAATGGGGCCTCAGTCGAGAAGTTCTTCGAGATAATCAGCAGGACCGTCATGGATACTGATGGCAGGCTTAAGGATATCGACACTTTTGCTAAATACATGGACAGCCTCGACGATGAGAAGGCCTCTCAGGAAGCATCCACCCCCATCTCTTTGAAGGACGAGCTTTTGGCGGCGCTTGGCAATGCAATGACGGAGATCCTGGCCTACTACGACCGCTTTTCGGACAATCTCGAGAACGTCTATGCCGTGTCCGCTTGTTGCGTGGGGGACACCAGCGGGATGGCATCGGACGCCGACTGTTTCAGGCTCTTCTCCGAGATTGCGAAGATAATCCTAAAGTTCGAGATCGGGGTTCCAGAGAGGGCGGTAGTCCAGGAGGCGAAGCTTCGGGCCGAGCTAGTCGTCGACGCAAACGAGACGAAGATGCGATCTTCGAGTAAGCCCATGGAGAGCGTGATATCTATGTGGAGCGACCTTTGGTTGCGAGAAGGTGCCATTACATGCGCGCCGCAACTCGCCGACACGAGCAGCTGGGCGGCAGGCTTCGAGTCATTCAACGCGTCCATCCCGACATGCCCGATCAGCACTCCGATCGTGAGCCTTGTCAAGCAGGTGGCAGCGTCCGAGAACTGCTGCATGGTGACTCCGAAGTTCCTCCAGACGGCAACCGATCGGAGTGGGGCCCTGCCTCCTGGCATTCGACCTCTCGTCGAGTCGATGCAGGCCTACTTCCAGGTCAAGAAGGTCATGGAGTCCAAGCTGTCTGGCAAGGTGATCGGCACCGTCCAGTTGACAAACGCCTTGGCGTCCTACTCCAGCATGGCGGAGCCAATCTCGTCTAAGGGCGGGCTGGCCGAGTGGAAGGTGCAACTGATCGCCGAGTGGTCAGATACGTTCAACAAAGCGGTGGAGAGTGTGAACATGGCCCCCTCGGATGCGTTCCTTTTGAAATACGGCGAGGGCGGAGAGAAGATCATGTCGATCATATCGTCTTGGAGCTTCGGTGCAGAGGGCGACGGCGAGAAGAAACCGTGGTTGAGTTCGAGCCAGAAAGACCCAGTGAGGGACGCAGAGATGAAGAGTGTTGCCGCGTTCGTGCAGAACCTGCCCCATGCCGAGCGCATCTTCGGTGAGCTGCAGAGCTCCCGCACGTCCCTCCACTGGCTGAACGATGACCAGCTGAAGACGCTGGACTAGGTCATAGCGAGCATGGATCGGATCAGAACGGTTGCGAAGGAGAGCGCACTCCTGGCGGGCGCCATCGTGCTCGCCAACTCCACCCTCACGGGCGTCGGCAAGCTAGAGTCGAAGAAATTCGTCTTCGAGAGGCTGGGGGTGCAGAAGAGCGACTTGCCCCAGAAGCTGCGCGAGGCGATGGACATCGCCCAGGCCGCCGAGGGCGGCGACGCAGCTGTCGCCAGCGCGACAGGGGCGCCTGTCAGTGAGCAGACCAAGGCCAAGAAGGCGCCTGCCAAGCCTCTGGCCTTGGCGCCCCCTTTGAAGAAATGTAAAGCAGAGCCGAAGTAGGAACCGTTCTTAAGTTAGTTAGGTAAGACGTAAGACGTGTCATTATTGCAGATGTGTGTGTGGGTAGTGTGCGGGAATACCTAGAGCTCAGTCGGGATCTAACCATATTACTGCTTCGGCTCAGCATCTCTCAAGGAGTTCATTTTAGTGCCAGCGGCTGGAGAGCCCCTCGTCCCCGAACTTATCCTATGTCCTCTCATCCTCCAGATCCCGCCCTAAAGTCCACCTTCCATCCCCCGCTATCCTCCCCATTATTTTACCACCCTCCATCCTTCAGGTTTTCCGTCGCCCTCCAGACCGCCCTAGCTTGGCACCAGCGTGCACAGAGCTCAGCGGTAGGTAATGAAGCAAGCAGCCAAGAAGCTGCAGCAGCAGCAGCAGCAGGTAGGTAAACGACGGTGGGAATCATAGCGATTGGACGTCTGAATCCTGCTGCTGCCCCGACAGTTCGTCCAGGAATGAAGTAATGTCACTGAGGCCACCTTCCCGTATCCTTCCCTCCACCTCCTCTCAAGGGCCTTTACCCCTTCCTCTCGCCTCCACCCTTTCACCCCGACCTCCAACTTATCCCGCTCCACCCACTCGTCTCCAACATCACGCCTCCACCTATCCAATGCAACCCTCTTCCACCTCCGCCCTCACGTGCCCCCGCCTATCTACATCTCCAGTTGAAGCTCGATCCTGCAAAAGCGCTTTGTGCACTATGGTCAAGACCCATTGGCAGCACAGGTTCTCGCATTCGTGTGAACGTCAGCGTAAAAAAACACGAAAACGTGTAACTCATTACATGTAAGAAGTACAGAAGGCAGCGCCTCCGGCAGGGCATGTGGCAGGCCCCGTGGCCATTTAATTGTGTGCAACCGATGCCCTTTACAACACCGAGGCTGAAGGCAGACTGAGGCTGAGGCTGAAGCAGGCTGAGGCTGAGGCTGAGGCAGGCTGAGGCTGAGGCAGGCTGAGGCTGAGGCTGAGGCAGGCTGAGGCAGAGGCTGTGACTGTGACTGCCGTTGCCACTGCGACTGTCATCGCGAATGCGACTACGACTGCGAGAACAGCAGAATTCTACAACTGGATTCTCATCTGAATCTTAAGGGGAATGCTTCCAGATATGCTCCTACACATCGCTGTTAGGTTGCTTTGCCGGGATAATTGTTTAATCGCTTCGCTCATTCTGCCGGCCCATATAGCCTTGCCACTTGGGGGCCGTGTTGGGGTCTCCTGCTTTGAGGCCTCTTGGGGGCCGTGTTGGGGCCTCTCGGGGGGGTCTTTTGGGGGCCTCTTGGGGCTTCTTGGGGTGCCTCTTGGGGGTCCCTTGGGGCCTCTTGGGAGCCGCTTGGGCCTCCTGAGGGCTTCTTGGGGCTGAAGATTGGACTTTTCGGTTCCTGGTCCCCGTCTTGGGCCCCTCTTGGAGCCGTTTTTGGGCCCTCTCGGGCCAATTTGGGCGCCACTCCAGCTGTCTTGGGGCCATCTTGGGCCGTCTTGGGGCCCTCTTGGAGGCTTCTAGGGCCGTCTTGGAGCGGCCTTGGGGGCCTCTTGGGCTGTCTTGGAGCGTTCGAAAGCCGAAAAGGTGCGAAGGCCAACATCTCTCAAAAGCCATTGTAAAATTGACGATCTTGTCCTCCCGGGGCCCTCCGAGGGCTCTCTTGGGAGGCCTCTTGGTGGCCTCTTCGGGGGTCTTCACGCGTCGTGGGCCGTCTGGAAGCCATCGTGGGTGTTCCGGGCCATCTGCAGCGTCTTGGAACGATATCCTTCGGCGACTCGGGGCCTCTTGGGCCGTGTAGGGGGCGTCCCGGCGCCCTCTTGGCGCGCTTCTGGAGCGCCCCGGGGGAGTCAGCCAGGCATCGCCCGGGCATCTCCTGCGCATCGGCTGGGGTACTTTTCGTTTCGGGATCCCCAGGGGCCACCACGCGCGCGCGCGCACTAGAAATACTGTTGACCTGTTACAGGAGATCTTACACCACGCCTCTGGCCCGTTGGGCCGGCGAATCGGGTGTATCTATTGGTGTGTCCCTGGGCCCCTTCTTCAATTCTCAGGCGATCGCAAACATGGATCAAGGGGGCGTGGATTAGCGACAGGTCCCGTTTCCATGGGAAATCGTGGATTTCTGCTTCCGAACGAGGCGGCACCAGCCGCATTTTTGGGAGGGCACCTCCCCCGATCCATGGTTTTGGCGACCGCGCGCCAGATCTGTGGATCGCTAATCCATGTTTGCGCGCCCCCGAAATTCTGGCGTTGCAGACAGAACGGCCAGGCGTTTTCACCCCGGTGCAGGGCCCTGGAGCCCTCGCGTGTCGATCTGGCTCGAGAAGGCGCCCCAGACCTGCGGGGTCAAGAGTTCCAGTGGTGATTTTGTCTGTCAAGACGCCAGTTGTTTCACGACGCGTCGGTTTGGATGACGCTACTGGTCCTCCTCCTCCTCCTCCTCCTCCTCCCGACGTGGAGTCTCTGGGGTCCTAGTTACAACTGCACGGTCTTTGAACAAGACATCGGCGACTCGGGCCAGCCCCTGCCCGAGTCTCAGGGTTTGCCCAGAAGAATGCGGAGGCCTCTGGAAGCAGCTGGAGGCATCCAGAGGCATCATTGCTTGCACCCAGTTTTGTACACAGTATCTAACTCCTTTATTGTGCCAACCTCCTCCTCCTTCCTTTTTCTTTCTCGTCCTTCCTCATCCTCCTCATCCTCTCTTCTTCCTCTGCCCTCCACCCTCACTCCTCCCCCCGTCGCCGCCTGCCCACTGTTTCTCTTCGCCCCCTCGCCCTCCCCGCCGTCGCCGCCTCCCCGCCGCCGCCGTCTTCCCCCCCAATCGCCCGTCCATCCTCCCCCCCTCCTCCTCCCCCTCCCCCTCCTCCTCCTCCCCCTCCCCCTTCTCCTCCTCCTCCTCCTCCTCCTCCTCCTCCTCCTCCTCCTTTCGCCGACGGCGGCGATGGAGGCGACGACGATCACCGCCGCGCGATCCGCCGCGCCCGGTGCCGGAGGCCAGGGCTCCGCCCCTGGCGCGGAGCAGGCCTGGGCCCTGGAGCGCAAG